GAGTGATACTTCAATTTTGTGATTGGAATAATGATTGAATGTTGATTTGTCGAGTTGTGGTTTGTTAATTCTACATGATTAGTTGATTAAATAACTTCTAACTGAATTAGCGACTTTTAGAACCGAAAGGAGAGGAGTCGTAGAACTAGGCTCGTACGAGGTAGACAATTTCGTAACTGAATAGTCTATAGATTTCGGGTTGAAGTACACGCTTGTCGATGTCCCTTCCCTTGTTACGAAGAGTTATTGAGATTGGATTATTGGTCGGTGTTGTATGCTCGAGCTTGCTCGTCTATGTTCAATCCCTTTTACAAAGAGTTATTGGGAGCGAACCGCTAGATGTTTAAGCGAGAGCATCAATCCAGAATAGAACGATTAATGTCCCGATTTTTCGAATAGAACTTGAATAAATAATCCCCAATTCCCTAGCTTCTCCATCTTTATTTTGTTTATATTTCTAGGTAGTATTGCTTTTTACTATTCCATAGTTGATAATTCATTCCATCCCTTATTTGATTAGTATGTTTAGGATTTATTTTGCTTTCATGTGCTATCAATATCAAAGTTAAATTCTGAACCGCCTTCCTCGTGAGATCGACCCAGGGAACGAATCTTTCGATTTGGTACTCGGTAAAAATAACAATTTGTGCTACAACAACAAGTGACAATTCTACAAAGACTTTGGTGAAATGATTTGGACGAGAGAGCATCCGGAGCAGGCCCCCCACCTGGCTGGTCGCAGTCAACTGGTCTTCTCGTCACACCAATAGAAACATTGTCAACTCCCTATACAACATTCAGACCGTTGTCCGATATCTTTGGGAGACATGCAAGAACGCATAGAGCGTAGATAAACTAGAAGGAAAAAAGGGCAAGAGGTTGAGGATCGAGCAATTGGGAAAAGAGACCAGCAGGAAGTTTGGAGCCTAGTTGAGCTCAGGAGCAAGATGATGATACATTGTGACTTGTGGGGACCATTTTCTGCACCATCTCATTCATTGTTGTCCAAAATTGACCGGAAAGTTGACCTGCTATTTTTAAATAATGGTAAATCTGTTTATATATGGATAAAGATTTTAGGGTTTGGAGAATCCATTTTGTACTTTATTTTTTCGCCTCTCACTCTCGTCTCTCTCATTCTCTCAGAAAACATACACCTTGTAATTTCAATCTTTCATCAATAATCAATATGCTTTGTTTGTTTTCTTCAATTTTATTTTGTATTACAAATATATCCTTAGTATATAATATTGACCTATTTTTTGTTGTTGGATGTAGGGCTGCAAATGAGTCGATCGGCTCACGAGCTGCTCGCGAGCGCTCGAGTCAAAGCTCGACTCGAGCTCGAGTTTGACCGAACTCGAGTCGAGCTCGAGCAGCTCGAGCACGAATTCGAGTCGTGCTCGAGCCCATATTTTGCCTTGTCGAGCGGCTCGAGATATACGTTAATTACTAAAATACCCATTATTATATATACTAGGAAGATGCACGTGCTACGCACGTGATATTTTTTTTTTTCAAATTACTTTAGTATTAGGTTTATCTTTAATAGTATAATATAATTTTAATTCAGTTAGTTTAACAAAAAAATGTGTATTTTATTGAATAATGAAATATAGTATTTAATACTATTAACTAAACTCTATGATAGATTAAATTAAATAAAAAAACATTGGATTGAAAACTCAAAATAAAATTAATATTTTATTTAGTGAAAATGTAAATGCTAAAGAAATTTATATCGTCTTTAATACCTATTTATGTATACATCTTTTTCGACATAAATTATTGTTGCATCTCCTAACATTGTCATACATCCATTATCTTCATTCCCGGATTTTCAAGACTATCCTAAATATGAAAATTTACTAATTCCAGTTTAAATGAATTATAGAATGATGATTCTTTCATATTTTTTTTTATCTTAACATTATTTTTATATCTTCGTCAACATTTTATATAGTTTATTTTCCATCCTTTTGCTTAAAATAATGATCATTAATATTGTCATCAAATATAGATTTTTAATTATGCCATCCTTTTGCATCACACTCTTTGAAAAATAACTCGAATTTGTTATAACTATAATTTGTAATGATCATTTTTTATTGTCGATTGGAAGCTAAAACATTATGTTTGAATAATTCGTTCTCAGGTTTTCTTGGGGGAAGGCGAGGTTTGGGGGAAGGCGGCGACGGTGGTTGACTGCGGCCCAGGTTTTCTTGCTGGGTCTTTATCGGGCGATCTCTCTTCTTCTTCTGTCGGCGGCCAGCTCTTTTCCTGCTTTCCCTGTTTGCAGGTGTCGGCTCCGGTCCCCGGCTTGCTGGCTCTCTGCAGTGGAAGTTGGTGGGCTGGGTTTCGTTTTCAGAGATTGGGAGGGGTGCTCTGGTGGTGATGACTGCGGTGGGATGACCGGGCGTTGATGTCGATTTTGTGGTCCCTTCTCTCCTGTTCTCTGGCGCTGCGTTCGGGGGAGGACCATTGTGTCCGGAACTTGGCTAGTGGTGTTAGCCATTTTTCGGGACGATGGTTGGTGTGGGACGAGTCGACATCTTTTGCCGGTAGAGCGGGTCGGCTCTTGGTTTGACTTGAGGTGTGAGTCTTTGTATTGCTAGGCGTTCGGCAGCAGTGGCGGGCGAAGTTCTTGTGTCTCGAATCTCTTCGAGGAGTCGTCTATTGTCCTCTTGTTTAGATCGGGTGTTTGCCGGGGGAGGGCGTGTTTTATTAGATATAATTATTTGTTTAGTTTGTGTCTTTGTTCTTGGTTGTTTAGGTTTGTGTTTTTTGTCTGGGCTACTTGGCCTCTGTGAACCCGAGTGTCACCTTATTATCCCACTGGGATCTGGCACTCGGGTATTACCCTATTGGGGTCTTTTTTAGTTGTTGTTAGTTGTTTTAGTTGTTTAGTTTGTTAGTTTTAGTTGCGAGCTTTATTCTAGCGTTGCTAGCCGGGATTCTAGGCGGTCTTCTGACCTGTCGTCCCACTTTTTCAGCTGTTGGCTGCTGTGTATTCAACCGTTGGCTGCTGTGTATTCGCACATTTGTGCATTTTGATTTATAATATTATCTATCGTTTCGAAAAAAAAAAGAATAATTCGTTCTCAATTATTTTGATTATAGTGGTTTCAAGTTTAGTTATATTAAGTATAAAATTTCATGATACCTAGATAAGTGACATAAGAGACACATAAATTTTTGAAAATATCTTTAAAATCGTAATTATTTCAAAAAAAATATAAAATACATGAAAAAGCTTAGGAAGAATAACATCTTTATTGATTTAAAGATACTCATTTATCTAATATACCTAGTCCAACGTAAATTATTGTCGCATCTCCTAAAATTGTCATACATGCATTATCTTCGTTCACGGATTCTCAAGACTATCATAAATGTGAAGATTTAATAAGTCTAGTTTTAATGAATTATAAAATGATGACTCTTTCATATTTGTTTCTCTTAACATTATTTTTATATCTTTGTCATTACTTTATATAGTTTATTTTCCCTACTTTTGAGAAGAGATTTGAAACATTTAATTTATGAATGATTTCATAAATAAGATATGCTAAAAACAACAAATTTAAAGTAAATTTAATGTTTATTTTTATTTAATTAATTTTAATTGTAATTAATTTTTTAATAAGTACACGTGTTGTGAAATTTAAGATTTAAAATAGAATTTTAGTTATTTTATTTATGTAAACAATCTATTTTGTTTATATTAAAATTCAGTAAATACTAATTTAATTTATGTAACACATTATTATATAAGAGCATTTATACTATACATATTATTAACAGGTAAACTTAAATTATATTATGCATTTTGTTTTAGTGAATAATTTAAACGTTTGTTAATTTCATATCTTTTTTACTTAACAAATAACTTTTTTTCCATAGAAAGTTGACATTTTGTATGTTGAATAATTATTTTTTATCCAATCATTCTTATACATGTATGGTCACTTAATTGATCCTCTTTAATTTTTTTTAATACTATAACCAAAAATTTGTATGGTAAACAATATGATATTTGAAAATTAAAGATGATACTTTTAGTGGTGCATTAATATTTTACACTTATGAAATATCATATATTTTATATTTCAAAAATCTTAAAATATTTTTTTCTCTTACATTTTAAACTACCATTAGAATAACCAAATCGAAACCTAATGTACATTAATTCAGAATAATATAATTATGAATAAATTATTATTTAAAATATATAGATTTGCGTAGGTAATGTTTTGTAGGTGTAAGAACTTAAAGATATAATTAAGCATAAAAAATAAAAGATAATAAATAGAAGTTGTAACTTCCTAACATTAATAAGAAAATTACATTAATAACCTTAAAAACTTATCTTTTTATGAGGGTATTCTTGGCAATTCAAAAGTTTCAAGAAACAACTCTTCCTTTTAAGAGAGTTATAGATTATAGATAGATAGATTGGCATAGGTGCTTAATGGTAATTTTACCTAATTTTTGAGTCGAACTCTGAGCCGAGCTCGAGCATTTTGATTTTGATTCGAGCTCGAGCTATTGTAATTTTTTATCGAGTCGAGCTCGACGAGCTCGAGCAGCTAAAAAAAAACTCAATCTTGTTCAATAAGGCCAATGCTCGAGTCGTTTGCAGCCCTAGTTGTTGGATGTATTAGATTTATGATTATGATTCATTCTTATTACTTTTTATTGAGAACAATTCTTATTGGAACTTATTCCTAATCCCTATACACACATCGCAAATTCTGTGGAGCTAGCAGATGACTACATGTATTTTATAAGTGAATAACTTGTAAAATTTTATTCCATTAGCATTACTGCGCATAATTTTTATTATAAGCACGTCTTGATTATTAAAAAATAATGAAAAACTGAAATTTTTAACTGAGTACGTATAATTTTTCTTAATGACAAGACTTTTCCCAATGCTTATTATCTATGTAAGCAATTTTTTTAGATTATACACAACCCGCTTAATTAAGAAAAACCGGTCAGGTTTCATTTTGATCATCATCCATCTGCGTCCTGGGAGTCCACCCGGCCACTG